GGTCTGACCTAGGGTGAATTTTAAATAGGGACAATTTTAATGATTTTAATAAGACACAGCGATAAATATTTGGTTTTTAATTGGCTTTTATAGGGGATAATGTTTTATATTGTTTTAACATGCTGTGAGCCGCCCTGAGTCCCATGGGGAGAAGGGCGGCATATAAGTTAATGAAAATAAATAAATAAATAAATAAATTCAGTTCCTATCTAGTTTCTTCTTATCTATCCCTGCCCTTTTTCCTACTATTTTAGAAAGGCTATCTGGGCCTCAGTACTTACGAGTGCTCTAGATATATTGAACTATGATTTCCATCATCCCCAGGCATTGGTGGTTAGGGAAGATGGGTGCTGTAGTACTAGAATATATATATCTAGAGGATACCAGAATGAGAAAAGTTAAATCTAATTTAGTCCAAAGAATGAAAACAAACTTGCATGGAGCCTTGTAAAGCTTGCATTTCACCAAACAACCTATTGATTGACTGCCCAAAGGAAACCATGGAAACAATGGAAATAATGGATTACCTGGCACAGAAGGATCGAAAGGTGACAAAGGAGACAAGGGGGACTTGGGACTCAGAGGTGAGCGAGGCCATCAAGGACATAAAGGAGAAAAAGGTTATCCTGGCATCCCGCCAGAGCTGCAGGTAATTTCCCCTTAATTTTCATGAGAGCATGATTTTTCCAAAAATGACTGCCCAGTGCATAAATTTATGGATGGGTTTGTTTGTTTACCTGACTATGATCCCAAATATTTGTGGGTGGACTGTGTCAATACTTTGAGGCAGTCCAGACAAGAAGCGCCAACTAAGCATATACAGGTAGTCCTCAATTTACAAGGGCAGTTGTAACACGACATTAATGGTGAGGTTACAATATTAAAGGAATGTTGCTAGTCTGAAAGTACATCTCTCCTCCCTCACCTTTACAACCCTGCAATCACGTGACTGGGATTCAGATACTTGGCAACTGACTTGCACTTATGATGGTTGCAGTGTCTCGCAGTCACGTGATCACCATTTGGAACCATTTTGCTGGTGGGAAGCTGGCAGGGAAGATGAGAAATCCCTCCCATAAGTTGCTTCCACTGTTTTTTCTCCTGAGGACCCCGCGATAGATGATGAGATTCAGGGATCTCATGCAACAGAGTATCTACCTGCTTACAGCACCCTCACCTGCACCTGTAGTACCCATGGGCTCTTGCATGGCATTGCAACAGTCCCACATCTGGCCACCCCTATGCCATGCTACACCCCTCTGCCAAGCGGCACTCCATAACACTCATCATAAAGGGTAACACTGAATTACCCAGCCAGTGGCATGTCTCCTTCGCTTAACAATCACGGTGTTTGCTTAACCACTGCGAAAAAGTCACAAAATTAAGGTTTACCTGATTTACGACCATCAAGACTTATGACTCACTTCCGGTGGTGACAGCTGGCATCGCATGGCGGCTTTTTTAGCCGCCCGTCCGGGAGCGCGTCAAAGCTTGAAGAGACAGTGTCTGACAGCTGTCTCTCGGCTAGGAACCTCGTCCCTCGGGCAAAGAGGGAAAGGTGAGTGAGTCCGGATAGGGCTAGAGCTTCCTTTCGCCCCAGTTTTGTCTCAATTCGGGGTGAAAGATGTTAGCTCGCCCGGAGCCTGGACACTCTCCGCGCCCCGAGACGCCTTCGCTCCTTGCTTGTGGAGCGAAGCCAGATGCAGCTCCCACCTCTGTGATCGAAGGTATTTGATTTAAAATTATAAACAGACAGAATTGAACAGGAGGCTGGAATTGTAATGGATTTATTGGGACTTTAACTTTGAAAATTATCAACATCTTCTTTATTTACTGAGGATTTAAAGGGAGAGAAAATGGCTGTGGATCTGCCGTTTCTCTGGATTACTTTCGCTTTTCACTTTTACTCTCGTCTGGCTATCAACAGGATAAAGATACATTGTTGCTTCTCTGGTTCTGGAAAGTTTTAACCACGATGAATTTATGATGCTTACTGATTGGTGATATTAATATTGTTACTCTTTTTGATGATACTTAAAGAAATTTGAAGAATGGTTTTAAAATGTGAGAAAGTTTTTTGAAAATGCCTTTCTCTTTGATTATAAATGATGTACAAGATGCTGTGATGCAAGCAGTTGAGCAATATAATGAGGAAATCAAAGATATTTGGATGAAGAAATTGGAAGAAATGGTGGCTTTTATTCTCCAGAGATTTATAGCAAAGGTTGAAGAAGATGTTATGGAAATACTTCAAAATGAGCAAAATTGTGGAGATTTGGAAATTGACAAGTCTGAGAAGCTGGGAAAGGAAGTGGTAATAGACTTGGTTATGATTTTGGTGTATTTTCCTGGTGAAGTTTTGGGGAAAAAACGTTTATATGGAATTAATCTATGGGTTCTGCATTGGAGAAAACCAACTGAAGATGTTGCTGCTTGGGTCTTTGGAAAAAGCTTACAGGCTTACTACTTGCAAAAACTTCAGACACGTTATAAAACATAAAAGGCATAAGGCGCAAAAGGCTGAAGGCTCATTGACTTTGACTGATTTTGTCAGTAAAAAATGAAGTGAAAAAGAATGAAAAATTGGGAAGAAATGTAAGATGGAGAGTTGGGAAAAAGGAGTGCTTTTGAAGCTTATGTTTTTAAATTTTTGGATTAGTAAAATATTTGTTGGAATTCAAGATGATTAAGGATATATATAAATATAATTGCATTATTTTAAAGGATTTAAAAATAAGATATTAGATGATTAATGTCATATATGTATGCAATTATATTACTTTAATGAATTTAAAATTTACATTTGTTGGTATTAAGGCGTAAAAGGTTGAAGGTTTACTGATTTTGACTGATTTTGTATGTGAAAAAGAATGAAAAATTGGGAAGAAATGTAAGAAGGAGGTTGGGAATAAGGAATGTTTTTGAAGTTAATGTTTTTTTAATCTCTTTGGATTAGTAAAATCTTTGTTAGAATTTAGGATGATTAAGGATATATATAAATATAATTGTATTATTTTAAAGGATTTAAATAAGAAAAATAAGATATTAGATGATCAATGTTATATATGTATGCAATTACATTATTTTAAAGAATTTAGAATCTGTATTTACTGGGATTAAGATATTTGAATGATTATAAGAGAAATGGTAAAGTTTACTTTTTTAGAGGTTTGGATTTGGGGAAGATGGATAATTTTGTTAGTTTTGAGTTAAAATGGAGGTTAGTTTTTTGTTTTTTAATTATTTGAGTTAAAGTTTTTTTTTTAAACTGATTGCTTTAAGAGGTGTTGAATCCTGTGTTAGTTCTGGGAAGTCGGGGAGGGGAGGGGTTTTAGGGAAATTATAAATTGATGTAGTAAATAATTATAAGTATATAACGGAATTGTAATAATAAGAGAATATCCCCGGCAGGTTCCCCAAATTGCACTCGATATGGTGGTTAGAAGGCGAAAGGGATGTAGAGTGGTAGGAGGGAAGAGGAGAGGTTGTGGGGTTAGGGGGAGGAAAGAGAGGGAAAGTGGATAAGGGTGGAGGCAAGGCGGGACTGCCGGGAGTATTCGGAAATATTTTGAGTAAAATTTTTTTTTCTTTTGTGGTGTTTGTAGATGCATCATTTGTATTTGTTGCTTAATGCAAAATAATAAAAAATTTTATATATAAAAAAAAAGACTTATGACTGAAATTGTAGGCTCAATTATGGTCATAAGTCAAGGATCCATGCTGGAGCCGATCTGACAAATCCCCTAAAACGTAACGCTTCTTGTGGCTGAGATGGCATGAAGGGATCTCCACAGACTCAGCTGCTATGTTAAAGTGTACAGTAATCTTAAATGGAGCTGTTTGTGTTTTAGACATCCATAGATGTTTTTCTTTCTGCGTATGAGTGGATCTCTGTTCGTACATAAATCAATGGCAGTGTTGTTAGTCAGGTTGTGTGCTGGCCCAGATCCTAGTGATGCATTTAGAAAATCAAAGTTTATCTCTCTTTCTCTCTCCCCTCTCCTCCTTCACCAACTAAACTGGGAAAGAAATTGATACAGAATTGACTGCTTTCAACCATGTCTTCCAATCTGCCTTTCTCCTGTTCTTTAAATGCTAACTCTATTTGCATAGGTTGCATTTATGGCTTCAATGGCAACCCACTTTAGTAATCAGAACAGCGGAATAATCTTCAGTAGCGTGGAAACCAACATTGGCAATTTCTTTGATGTAATGACTGGACGATTTGGCGCTCCAGTGAATGGTGAGTACAGTGCATTCTGTGTGAATTTTGTGCAAAAGAAACAATAATTTGCCTTGAATGTTCTTTATTCAATCAAGCAGAACTTTCCCCCCTTGAAGCTTCAAACTGATGTTGTGTTTTACTTTGGGTCGAACACAAAGGCAAACATTGTGATTTTTTCTAAACATATCTTCTTGATAGATTGAAATATGACGTCCATAGCTTATCAGTGGGGGGTTTTGTATGGGTGTGTTTTTAGAACAGGCCTATTATTCAATTCGATTTTAAAACAGAAACTATTTATTTATTCGTGGTTTTTAGTATCGCCTGTTCACCGCCCTGAGTCCCGCAAGGGAGATAGGGCGGTATATAAATTTAATAAAATAAATAAATAAATAAATAAAATAAATATTATTATTTTTGCAGAACCTAAATATAACATTTTGTGATTGCTTGTTCAGAAAGGGTGAATTCTGACAGATTCTATAAAAAATAACAAGAACTTCTGTTTGGACCCTTTTTTAAAAAAATAGGAAGTTTTTTTTCCCCTTTATTGCTCTTGTGTAGGCAATTTGCATGAATGTAACTTACAACTAAGGAATGTCCTTGTGTTAATTGCCAATAAAATTTCAACAGGAAATAATGGAAGGTACAGTATAGGGAATAAAAAAGCCAATATATGAGTTTTGCAAACTTATTTATTTCTGTCCTTTATATACTGCTGTACTCTGTATGGATTCCCAGCAATTTACAATAAAGCAGTAAAACAATATTGAATTAGGACAATACCATGGTAATACAGTAGAGTAGAATAATACAGATGGCACACATTCATAATTTCTTGAGTACATTCTTGAGTACATTTTTATGGATTTCTTAGAATAGAAGTAACTCAGATTTGCTGTACATACTCAGTAATCTGATTCTCCAGATTAGGTTATTGATCAGGTTCTTTCCATGTTGACAAAGTCTCATTGGGATGCTGGGCAAAATATCTGTAGAAAAACCTGATCAATACAAGAACCCAACTGCTAAGTATATAAAGTTGTTTTATTAGCTTCTAATAACTAATAACATTTCTTAGGCTCAAGATAATATCAAAACAGAAACTTTAAACAGTCCAAAAATTAGATTTTGGAAACCCAGAAAATAATATTATTCTCCCTAAAACTTTTTAAAGGCAACCTAGTTAAGCTACTATCGCTTTTACCACACTGTAATAAATTAAACAGTGTGCATTTATTAATCACTGCTTTTGCTATATGCCCACATTCACTGGTAAAGTTAATACTAGACTGGAAATGAGATCTGTTGGTCACAAAAATATATCCATCTTTTTATACCTCTCTTTCCCCACATCTTCAATTTATGGAAAATTTGTGGAGCTTAAAAAATGTGCCAAATTGGCATTAAAAAAATAATGAAAGCCTTTAAGGTTCCAAAATAGATTCTAAGCTTCAGGACCAGGTTACCTCATATTGGATTGTTTCAGAGATAAAACAAAATATTTTGCAAGTGTGGATATTCATCATGGACAAGAAGATGAATGAATTCTTAACAATTGTGGCTAAATGTGTGTACTCTTAAGTGTGAAGGGATTCTTATTGTATTTGGTATTAGTTCTGAATATATGTACAGGTAGTCCACGACTTACACAGTTCATTTAGTGACTGTTTGAAATTACAATGGCACTGAAAAAGTGATTTATGACCATTTTTCACACTTATGACCCTCGCAGCATCCCCATGGTCACGTGATCAAAATTCAGATGCTTGGCAAATGACTCATATTTATGACAGTTGCACTGTCCCAGGGTCACATGATGAGGAGGTTGTTGAAGCCGCTGTGAAGGAACATTTATCTTATATCTGTGCCATTGAATTATTCAATTGTACTACATATTTTCTCTCTTCCCTTCTAGGGGTTTATTTCTTCACCTTTAATATGATGAAGCATGAAGATGTTGAAGACGTCTCTGTGTACTTGATGCATAATGGCAACACAGTATTCAGTTTATACAGGTGTGTGCGGTGCATTTGAGGCTTACAAATATGTGAAATAAATTTGGAAGAGGAACTGAAACTCAGGGTAGAGCACATGAGCTGCCTTCTAAGGTTCTCAGCTTCAGTCCCTAAAACAGGGGTCTTCAACCCCCAAGCTGCAGCCCATTACCAGGCCATGTCTTGTTTGAAACTGGGCCACAGTGCATGCGAAGCTCCACTTATGCGAGCGGAGGGCGCTCGTGCATGATGTTCCATTTGCACAAACATCATGCGCAAGCACAAGCACCTTCTGCTCATATATGAACCTCAATTTGCGTGAGTATAGGGTGTGCGCACCTACTCACACCAGTGGAGCTATGCACACGCATGTGTGCCTGCCACTCACACGCCCCCCCATCCCTGGCTGGGGCACCAAGGTGGAAAGGTTGGGGATCGCTGCCCTAAAACCTCCAATTTTAAAAAGAAATGGGTTACGGGTAAGGGGACAAACCACTAGGGTAGGGGTGTCAAGCTGCCAGCCTGGGGTGGGCGTCATGCTGAAACCACGCCCACCCCAGCTCCAACAATGGGGAAAAAGTCACGATACGTCGCGACACATCACGTGATGTGGCAAGTTTGACACCCCTGCACAAGGGAAAGCTGCTATCCCTTAGCATAGATTATCTGATTAAGAATTAGGATTGCTAAACTGGAAAAATGACCAATAATAGATTTAATGAAGAATTTATCTTGCCTGATATAACACTGCAAGATAAGTAAGTAGATTGCATTGTCTTTAGATGAAGTTGGAACCCTCAATTACTTTTGCCTATGTTGAAATGGCCAATCTGCTGCTTTAGGCCTGCAAAGTGGTACAGGTAGTCCTTCATTTATGACAATTGCTTAGCGACTGAAGTTAAAATGGAACCCAAAAATGGCGCTTGAGCTGGATTTGAAGTTCCAACTGCCATTCCCCCCCCCAGTCATGTGATTACATTTTGGATGCTCATCAACCGGCTTGCATTTATAGCTGTTTGCAGCATCCTATGGTCATGTGACCATGATTTATATATTTTTTCCCCCAGTATATGTTTACTTCCAGTTTCTGGCACAAAATGCCCATTATAGACAATGGGTTCATTTAATGGTTGCAGACTTCCTTTTTTAACATTGTCGTATCAGCAAACAGTCTCTAAATAAGGCAGTTACTAAATGAGGACCACCTCTAGGGATTGCAACAATGCTTAAAATGTGAAGAACAAACCAGTTTACCTTTTGTATCTCTGTTGTTAGCTACGAATCCAAGGGAAAATCTGACTCGTCAAGCAACAGCGCAGTGCTTAAACTTGCCAAAGGAGACGAAGTGTGGTTGCGGATGGGCAACGGGGCACTGCATGGAGATCATCAACGCTTTTCCACTTTTGCTGGGTTCCTTCTTTTCGAAACCAAATAGGTCTACTCACTGGAAAATGAAGTACAATATTGCTATTCGGTTTCCCTTGCTCTTTGGATTAGCATGGGAACATAGTAAAATCCCAGGGTCTGTCTTGATACCAGTATGCTGTGAACTATGAAACGTGGTAAGAAGAGGTTAGGCCTGAATTTATATATGCCCTTTTATGACATTTTGCATCCCACTGCACATTCTTGCCTTCTTGCTAATGGATACTGAATAGTTACCAAACGCCTATTCCTAGTAATTTAATAGAGTGGTGATTATAGCCTCTTCTTTTTCCATTTTCAACCAGCAATTTTCATATGATCTTGTGCTCTAATGGATATTGCATGTACAAACATTCAGATGGGATATCGTTGTATCAACAAGTCATGTGTGTTTGGAAGCTCCTGTGTTTTTAAATGCAAAAATATACATTCAGGTAGTCTTTGACTTACAACCATTCCTTTAGCGGCTGTTTGAAGTTACAACGGCAATGAAAAAAATGACATATAACCAGTCCTTGTACTTACAAGCGTGGCAGCACCCCCACAATTACATGATCAAAATTTGGGCACTAGGCAACTGTATATATTTATGACAATTGCAGTGTTCTGGGGTCACATAACCACCATTTGCAACCTTCCCAGTCAGCTTCTGACAAGCAAAGTCAATGAGTAGAAGCTGGATTTGTTTAACAACCACATGATTTAACAATCATTGCAAAACAAGTAATAAATTTGGGCACGACTCATTTAACAACCACTTTGCTCAGCAACAGAAATTCTGATCCCAATTATGGTTGTAAGTTGAGGATTACCTGTACATATCCATCTCCACTCTGCAATCATATTATAACACGGGGATATACTTACACTATATATGCATACATATATCAAAAACAGGGAAATAACATTTGGAAGGAGACCAGCTGCACTTTTTCAGACAGCTTTATGAAAAAAAGCAAAAGCTTTCCAGATGAATCCAGTGAATATTGACTATTGTTAGCAAGTAACTCTTAAAATACCACACAAACAACTGTGAGATTTTTCCTCTTGGTTTAAATAATTGATTGAATCCTGCATTTAATGTTTTGAATGGGTTTAACATAGGTAAAATTGAATTGGTTGGCTTCAAACAGATAAGCGCAACAATCTCAAAATGTGCATTTTTGTGTGTTTGTGTGTCTATATTCTGTGGTCAATGAAGTGTATCCTTTCTGTCACTTTGACTGAAGATTTGCTATAGATCTTCTAATTTCCACTTCTTCTCGGTCTTTGAAAAATAAATATATCAGTTTTAGGGCTGATTTTTATTTTCATCCTGTGTGAAAGCATTTTAAGAACAAGCTGATTAGATTCTGGTAAATTATCCATTGGCAGAGCATCTGCAAAGGATAGTCTTTTTGAAGCTGGTAGGCTATATATTACTGCGAGACTTAAGTCTTTTAAATAATGTTTTTAAGTATACATTGGTACATTGAATATTTTAGACTTAGTAGGAATTGCAATCTGTAGTAGATGTTCTTTAAAAAATGTAGCCTTCTTTAGAATGTACCAAAGAAGAATGTAATCTTTTTAAAGTATATTAGCAAGATGATGGCATGCTTTCAAAACATAGTTTCACTCTCTTATTCATTTACTAATAATAGTATTCTGACCCCTGTTCTTAGTATGGATGCCTTCTGAATTTGTTTTTATGTGTTTCAAGTATTTGTTTATTTTGTACAGAACACTTACTAAATAAAGACCATTCTGAATAAGTATTTTGTGCACTTATGACTGTAACTCCAGGCACAATCATAATGATCTGATCCCATATTAGGTAGCCTCATATCAAAGACAATTAGTAACTTGGCTTTCAAACAAATTATACTTAGGGTGCTTAGAACATATAATTATACGTTCAAACCCCTATTCCAAATGCAGGTAGCCCTCGACTTACAATCAAAATTGAGTCCAAAATTTCTGTTGCTATGCGAGACAGTTGTTAAGTGGGTTTTGCCCCATTTTACCTCTCGTGCCACAGTTGTTAAGTGAATTCCTGCAGTTGTTAAGTTACTAACATGGTTGTTAAGTGAATCTGGCTTCTCCTTGACTTTACTTGTCAAAAGGTCACAAAAGGTGATCACGTGATCTTGGGACACTGCAACCCTCATAAATGAGTCAGTTGCCAAGCTGCCTGAATTTTGATCACATAACTATGGGGATGCTGCAACAGTTGTGTAAAATAAGTCACTTTTTTCCAATACTGTGTAACTTCAAACGGTCACTAAACGAAGTGTTGTAAGTTGAAGACTACCTGAACAGAGAGTCTGTCATCCTTCACTTCCTGGACAATGGGTGGGATGAAATTTCTTCTAGGGCTGATAGATGAGGCTCAGCCATTCTCACCTAAATGCAATATTCTTCCCAAGCAGCTATGTATCGTTTCCCTTCTCCTCCTGCATGCATTTCCCCTTTCAATTTTGCAGTCTCAGGAAAACTACATCTGCCTATAGTTCACTTCCTGTAAGGTAAAAGATAAAGGAGACCCTGTGGATTTTAGTCAGCTAGTCATTGCCGACTATAGGGAGTGGCCATTGAGCCAGTGTTGTCGGAAGACATTTCCCGTTATGTGGCCCGCATGTCACACAGCGCTGCCACTTTCCATCAAAGTGGTACCTCTTTATCTACTTGCATCTGCATGCTTTTTAACTACTAGGTTAGCAGAAGCCAGGGTGAGGATGGGCTGCCAGCTTTCCAGCCAACAAACCCAGCGTCTTAACCACTGAGCCACTGCACCACCCTATCGCCTCCTATAGCCAAAATATTTTGGTAGTGCTACAGAATCAGGATCTTTCACTCAGGTCTCTGCGATCTTTGAGAAGAGAATTCAGCTTTAATCAAGAAACGAAATGAAACTGACTGGGCTAACTCTGAACTGCAACCTCCAAGGACTACAAAGACAACCTAAGCAGAAACAGAGAGAACAGAATTTATCTAAGAGGGTGTGGGAAGTCAGCCCCCCCCCCGAGAAGGAAATATTAAAAGGGCAGAATGTTATATTTCCTCAAAGGATCTTAAAGAGGCAGAAAAGCATGCCCAGTTTTTCTTAATAGCCCAAAGTCTCCCTCCCCCAAGCAGAAACTAGCTCTGTAGAAATGCAGGTGTAAATAATCCATTCAGGAAGGTTGAAGCTAGAAGATTAAGAAGACAAAGACACCTAAAATCTACATACCCCACCCAAACTCTAAGACAACATAATAGGATTCACTCACAGATGCCAAAGGGGCACATTCAGACTCAGGTCAAAATGCATGACCCAGGAAATACAAAGGCTCAAACAGGAACAGGAAACAAACTCAAGAGCCCAAAAGGATATAAAACCCACTCCCTACATGTGCTTCCTCTCTTTTCTTCCAGAGCCATATTTCTGTCTGGCTCTCCTCTTCAATAAACTGCAACTTTCTTTCTAAAGCAGTCGCTATGTTGTTTATTTCCGGCTTGGACTGGACCCTGATGAAGACTATGGAAACATTCACCCAGAATCCTCTGAAAGGGCAATAATAATATAGAATCATCCAATCTCTTTATAAAGTATAACAGGGTCCCCAACCTATGGGCCGTGGCTGCTTGGCTACCAGGCCACATGAAGGGATGGCCAGTGCACGCGCTCACGCTAGCGGTGAACATCCCGCCGGCACTAGCGCCACCCTGCCCCTGAGCGGGGCAGTACATGAAACCACACCCCCTCCGGTCTGCAGAAAAAACACTCTCCACGGAACCGGTCCCTGGTGCTCAAAAAGTTGGGGACCTCTGAAGTATAAGATAGATGATGTGGTTCATGCATTGCTCACACACCAAAAGAACCGGATAGCGAGCAATACAGCTGTGAAGAAATATCTAAAAAAGAAGCATTCAATTCTCCAGCTTCAATGTTTGATTGCTATTAGCAAAAGTACATATATTTTCGGTGTAATGCCAGTACTTCCAGATAGATTCTCTGGACCATCAGAATAAAAGATCTGTCTCATTTATATTATAAAATATGAGAAAGAAAAAATGCCTTATATTTTGTGCCAGCTCAGTTTTACTTAAAATCAAGACAAGAAATAATTACGGTATTTAGAATATGCATATCATACATGAACTAGCAATATATATTAATATTTCATCTAGATTAATAGAACCGAATAAAATATAAATGTTAAAAAGGTCTATGTTCAAATACCAATGTCTAGGCCATCTAGCCATTGGATCAAAATACATGATAACGAAAATGAAAATAAAGCTGCTTTCTGCCACCTAGAGGGCACATATACAGGCACATAAATATTCATATAGCTACACCAACTCTATCAAAACAAATTTTGCTTAGCTTAAATCATGTTATTGGCATGTACTGTATTTTATGGCAAATAATGCTGGTCCAAAATATTTATCTACCTGAGGACAAGCAGCAAATATAAGCTGCAAATCCAGGCTACCCAACCTATTTTTTACATCTAGAATCTCCTTCTGAAAGTAAAAACACCATAATTATAAATAAGATGGTGAATATATTCTAGGGACATGAGTAATTGGCTTGACTGAATGTAAGGGCCAGTTTTATAAAGTGGTTGGCATTGATTGAAGCCAGTGTTTCTTAAATTGTTTTTCCCCTCAGGACCCCTTCACACTTTTAAAAAATAGGAGAACCCCAAAAGAGCTTTTGTCCATGTAGGATATTTTTATCAATACAGGTAACCCTCAACTTACAACAGTTCATTTAGTGAACATTCAAAGTTACAACTGCACTGAAAAAAGTGAGTTATGACTGTTTTTCACACTTATGACTGTTACAGCATTTCCATGGTCATATGATCAAAATTCAGACACTTGGCAAATGACACATATTTATGACGGTGACAGTGTCCCAGAATCATGTTATCACCTTTTGAGAGCTTTTCACAAGCAAAGTCAATGGAGAAGCCTGATTCACTTAACAACCATGTCACTAATTTAATAACTGCACTTGTTCACTTAACAACTGTGGCAGGAAAGG